ATATCAAATGACATACTCCACGAAGTGCTCCAGCGACGGGGGGGTCGGATAAGTGAACTTGCTTACTTGGCCCCTCCCTGCGGAAGCCGTAGTTGCCCGAATATGTCAATGATACCCCCCTGCCCCCCTCTGGAAGCCCCCTGAAAAATGTTGTACCTTAAAATTTTTATTGCGGATTCGGACAGCTCTTGAAGAGCGCAGTCGGAATCTGCCCCCCCCCCCAAAAACAAAAAAAGATATTTGCCCGGTTCACCCCCCCTGGTCTGGTCCGGCTCCGGTTGGACCGGGGTAGCTCAACCGGCCGGTTGCCGGCCCCGCACTGCTTTGAAGTAGAGCGAAGTCATTTCTCTTACTGCCTTCTGGGTGCTTTTCTTTTTCCAACTCTTTGTTTCTTTCCCCATTCTTTGTACTTCCCCCTCCCTGCCATCTGGGTGCTTTTCTTTTTCCAACTCTTTTTTTTTTTTTTTTAAAGGGTGATGGTATTATCATCGGACTAACCAGCCCCGGTCAATTCAATCTTGTGTCTAATGACTCTGGTCCGACACCGGGTGGCCTTTATTTATTGCTTTCGGGGAACCCCCAATGGGGGACACCGGCCAGGGGACAGCCCGCAACTTGTTCTCGCCTGATTCAATGGTCAGGATTCAAACTCATGATCTGTTTATCAACAATTACTGAGTCGAGTTACATGCATGTACCGTTCAGTGACACGAGCTGGTTTATACTTCTCACTTCCGCAAATCTGAACAAAAGAAGTGCGCAATAGGCTAATAGCGATGAGAAATGTGATTAGCACACACTTTTCTCTTTCCCTCTCTCCACACCTCAAATTTCTAATTACTAATTACTAATTAGTAATACCCCCCCCCCAAAAAGCAAGTGCAAAGAACCCCCCTCCCAAATCTACACAATTTCCCACCGCATCAGTGCCATCTTTTTCTCTTTTTTGAAGTTTTTTCTGTTTTTTCTTCTAGTTTTGGAGCAAGGAGAGGGGTACACACAACCCCCCTCTCCCTGCTCTTTTCCGCTGGAAAAGGAAAGGAAGCCTTCATCCCATGGCTACGATCCGGACGTCCAGACCGGAATCCAGACCGTCTGGATCCACACCGGACTCCAGACGTCCGTTTCGGAAGGACCGGTACCTACGTAATTCGAAAAAAGAAAAAAGAAAAAAAAAGTGCCTAGGGTCGTGCGTACCACTCGTTCGAGGCCCCCAAAAATGGTTTGGAAGGTTTTTGGGGGCCTTGTCGGGCTTTTTAGGTGGACCGGACACGGCCGGATCAGGGTTGTTGTTGTTGTTGTTGTTGTTGTTTTCTTTCCTTCTTTCTTTTTTTTTTTTT